CTCGTAATTTTCAGTGAAAAGTTGTGGAAAAATGCCTGCCTGTGTGTTTAATCAATGCAAAAATTGCACATTGACAACGAGAAAAGCAAAAAATATCATTTCATGCGTAAGTACTGTACTTACTTTTTATTTATTTTAATAAAAATAATAAAACATTATTGAACGCGGCTATTTTATCGTGCATCGTGTTCTATGAAGATGCAGCAGTTGATACATAAAGCTATGCAAGTATGGTGATCTCGTTCTAACAAGAGGTAGAAGATTCTGATAGGGAAATATCTATTTTTGATTTCTTCGCGCCTTTTGTGGTTGTATTATAATGTTATGCTACCACAATACAATTTATGCTGTTTTGAAATGATGTACGGGTATGACGTGTCTAATAATAAAATGTCATTGAGTATAAACATACATCTGTACGTCAAATTACCAATAGTCTCCATATAATTTAAAAAAGTTTGTGACACGTGATTCGCCATCCCCTCTCCGTACCATTTCCATGTCCTATTTTATATTCCCGCCAAACACTACGCATAATATTTTACGCAAAATAATGTTGAAACCTCCACCCCCCCACCCCAGACAGGGCGAGAGCGTGCAAGTTTTAATCTAACCTAACTTAATCGATTGATTGGTTCTTTCATACCTAGGAAAATAGTTTTAAAGATCTACGACAGGAAAATTATACTGAAGAGATTTTTTTGATATCAATTGAATGAAAACGATTTGTGCATAGGAAACTTTATCATAGGCGTGAAGCGTATAATATTAGATTTAACTAACAACTATCCTTTCAATAAACAAGTGATACGGTCTTTATACGAAATGGCATGCGTTTCTGACACTTAACACTATAGAAATAGAGTTGAAAATTCGACCGTTTGAATTTCACACATCAAAAATTCCTGAAATATGACTCAACGCAATCGACGCGTGGAAAATAATTAATTTCCACGAGAGCTATTATAGTGAGTATTATCCGGTGAAACTATGGACCAACATGGCTGTTGACTTTTTAACCGACTTAAAAAGGTGTTCTTATTAGCTGTTTCGTAGTTGTTTTTGTCGTATTTCAATAAATGTATAAGAGTAATCGCTAATCCCAGATTAAGTGGTAAAAGCCATGTGTTGTATTATGGAACTCTTAAACAACAATGACACCAGAACACCTATATCTGTGATCTTATTAAAAAGTAAATTATCCATTAGACATGAACTCAATCGGGCATTGGTCGATGGGGCTTACTCTAGGAGGCCCAGGTGGAAGACCTGGGCAGTGTTTTTCACTCACGCAGAAAGCAAGGGGGAGAGAATTGCGTATTAACACATCTCCCCCTTGTGTAGACCGGTAAATAGGGCTGACACCCGACACAGGCTGACACAGGTTAGTCCTACAAGGGGCTTGTAGGACTAACCTCAAGGACGGTCTAGGGAAATTGCAGTCTGGTACCTTGGTTTTTTCCCAGCCCACAAGAGGGAGAGCCCTGTAGGGACCCCCGGAAGTAGGGCTGAAATCTGCATGCTTCTTGCCAGATCCCGGGTCCGGAGAGTACTTACAGCGGGCTGGCCTCGCTTAAGCCTGTTCTTTTTAGGACTTCAATGGCGCGCTAGGTAGTACGCTCAGTCTGTGACATGGTTGTTAAGCAACTGTCACAAAACTTATGATCATGAGCTCGATACGTTAATTCGTTGGTCCCGTCTGCATTTGCAGACACCCACACACCCACCAATCCTTACTGGGCTAGCGTGCGCTTTTTTATGATCGTGGTTTCATCGGTCATGACTTGTACCATACGAACTTAAGTGAATCTTCAATAGAAGCACATATAAAAGACTAATCACATTTTTTTTATTTCCTTTCAAGATTCCCAAGGAAGTTATCATGAAGATTGACTGAGAGTAAATTTATTAAAAATCATAAAGAAAAAGCATAGAGGAAGGATTCATAAAGTTAAATAATTACGACGGAAGTAGACAAAGCTCTAGTTAATCATAAAATGGAAAAAAATTAGATATACCTCAATATTTATTGGTAAATCAATTTTGTTTGAAAACTATATTATGACTATATCGTATCAACTATCGGAGATGTTTGAAATAAAATAAAATGGCGAAAAGTGATACCTATTGGGGTCTGATAATTTAACTCAATTTGTGACTATAACTTGACTTCAATTTTACCTACTACAATATAAACAAGACATTCATGACTTATATAAATTCTTCATATTGTTGAGTTTTGTCATTAAAGACTAGATTATGGCCTATTCTCTCTTATGACGAAGAAAACAAAAAAATATTCAACTGACAATGACTGTATGGGCTTAGTTCCCTTTTTTCCTTCATAGCAAAATCTAAAAATGAAAGGTTTATGTTCATTTAAAAATCAAAGGTACTAACCAATATTCGAGATGACTTAGAAAAGGTAGAGTTGCAAAAAACTTTGTTTTTGATTTCAAGACAATATCATAACATCAGCCTACGACATAGGGAGAACAATGATATAGTTACGAAGCGTAGCGGCGCGATTCGTGTACGCATTACTAGATGACGTTATGCGCCAATGAATGGCGCTAATAATGTTGTAACTACCTGTGTCATATAGTTAAACATTGCTTGGCTTGAAAGGGTCAGTTATCGACTCGAATACACCGGTAGGGCCGAGGAAACACCTAGAATGTTCTAGGTCTTAGCTAGAATATTAAGCTAATCTATAACTACTGCGGTGAACTGTCTACTAGCGTTGTGAAGTGACCGTAGTGACGTAAATAGTGAAGTTGAAGTGTAAATTTTGTATTTGGACTATTTTTGTAACTTTACCGTACTAAAATAAACTCGGTTTGTGAACTATAATTGGCCTTAATTTTTATCCCGAACCCCAAGTTTTAATAATGATAATCATAAAATACATAGTAAGAGCTCGCTGGCGCAGTGGTTAACGAGTTCGGACTATGAGATGTAAGTTAAGCACCTTTTGCAAGGGTCGGTCGGTTTTGCATAGTATAGGTGACCAAAAATTTATAATCTTGTGCTTCTCCGTGCTTTATATATGTTAAAGCGTTGGTCCTGGCTGCATCCGCGGTCGCTAAAACCCACAAATCCGCTGGGCCCACGTGATGAGTTATGATCAATTCTCATTTATCTATTCCATCCATATGAAAGGCCTTTGCCCCAGTAATGGGGACATTATTACATTATTAGGCCAGTGATGAATCAGCTGCCTGTATGGTGTGGCTTGAAAGATGTGACCACACTCCTCCATTCCTCTCTGAGCAGTTTACGACCGCTACGGTTTTCGAAATGTTTCGTTTGGAGTTCGTTAAACTTTAATGTAACTGTTACTTCTAATTACTTAACAAATAAAGTTTTCACGCTTACTCTTGCAATTTATACCACATCGACGCGAAGAAATTCACGCGCAGTTCCTAGTAGCCCCGGGGCGTGTGGCTCAAAGAGCTGCTGATCGCGATAACATGACCACTAGACGTGGTTCTATGGACGGCATTATGTAGAAATATACATTCATAATTAGAAAATAACGGGAATATTTTATCACGTGTCACCATTAATGCCTGTCTGCCGATAAATAAATATAATGATAATTTACAGTTAATGCTTTCATGGATATATTAACAGTTTTAATTATAATAGAAGTGGATAGAGTTAATGCGTAATGCGTTTATTTTACCTTTTTAATAGAAGGTGACTTCACACCCTTGAAGTTTTGTTTCCGTGTGACGACTTTGTACGTATCAAAACTTGGAGAATCATAGCTCTTGTTTAATTATTTGTCAGTTCTCCTCAGTAGAAGATTTGATAACTCGATTGATCAATAATGATGCCCTAAATTATCAACTTGATTTATCAGTCAGCTGAGACCGATCAGGATCGGTCTATGGTTGGATAAAGTAATCTATCACCTTAACATGATCTGATTATTCAAGTCTTTATTTAATCAGTTCAATCTCGGCTTCTATTACGCAGTAAAGCTGATGGTCTCTATAATATTATTCCAAATATAAAATAGCAATATGTAAAAATCACTCTAAAATTACTATATTCCATATCGTTTTATGAAATACATTTTCATAAATCGATAAAGAATATAGTAATTATTTATAATGACAAAACAAATAGATATAATAATTAAAAAGTGCAATGTTGTGTGTTGTTAAAACTGTTTATGCAATGGCCGTTCCACATTGCACTGGGGTACATATTCTGCTAGTACCAGTGGTTATAATATCATACTATTATCAATTACAAACTTCACTATCAAAAGATAAAAGCGTACAATTGGTTGAAATAATATGGCCTTTTATTACAATTATGTTCCAATGGACTTTAAAAAAAAATTACTCTGGTCAACCTCTATAGGGGTTTTTACACGTTTAAATTTCTTTTATTTCATACAAAAATAATGTTTAAACCAAAAAACTAGTCAACATGACTAAACCGCTACTTTCGACGATCAATAAATAAATAGTGACTACTACCACGAACACAATTGAAATTTTGAATTATACTGAGATTTTTTACTTTATATTTTTCACAATTTCATGTCTTGTACAGCATAATCACATCCTACAGCCACTGACCGCCCTCATATAGCCTAATGGCCAGAGGCTACATCTTCACATGGTGTTTTACAACGGACTCAGTCAATAGAGCCTGCACAGTTTTAATCGCGAAAGTAGTTCGTATTTGCTATCTCTCTCTATCTCCAGGGGATGATTGCGTATGTAATTAAAGACACGATATTTTAATAACATTATCATCATTGATTGTTTTAATTATTTATCACTTAAGCATTCACAATGTTATATAAATATATTTGGTATTTATCTTAAAGATTAAAAAAAAAAATTATATTTGACCAATTTTGCATGCAAAATGTTAGACTGAAAAATATTGTTGATGAAAAATCTGGCTCTTGTCCCATCTCAGAGTGCCAGGGACAAAGTGGATTTTTAAGCATTTTACATTGAAGTTGTCATTGTGAATTAACAAAAATATTGTTATAATCAAAATAAATAACTATAATGTATGATCATTTAATAAATTTGTTAATTTATTACATTCAAAATATATAACTACAAATAAATATGTTTAAATCACAGATAACATTAAAATAGAAGTCAACATAATTAACAGTGATACTTTTACATGTCCTGAACTGCTTACGAGACCAAATCTCCTGGCTTGAAATAGTAGATCTACTATAGAGTCAAGGGTCTCTTCACCTGTCGGCCTTATCTGTTCTGGTGGTAGAAGAAATCCATGTTCGCCTGAATCTCTGAGTTCGTAGCAGTATACGAATGGAACATGGAGGTGTTCTTTCACCCATTCATCACTGCCGCCAGTCGCAAAGTCTGGAAGGTCATTATGTGCATTATTATGATATTCATATCAGTAGCTCGATGGCGCAGAGGGTAGCGCGCTCGGTCTGCGATACGGTTGTTAAGCAACTTTCACAATGGCCGGACATAGGATGGGTGAACAAAATATTATCTCGAACCCCTTCGTGCTTCAGAAAATACGTTAAGCCGTTGATCCCTGTATCTGCAGTCGTTAATACACAACAATACGTACTGGGTCCTTGTGGCGGGTCACGGCCCATTCTCCCTATTGAATTCGATTTCATCCATAGGGAAAGCCTGAACTCCATCAGTAGGTACATAGGTTAAAAAGCCGGCCAAGAATAAGTTTTAACCCTAGATGCTTATTTTTTTTCAAAATTTGATCCTTAGTTTTCAGAATTTGGCTTAAACCAGTGCTTTACGAACATCTCGTATTACACACGATATATCAGACATTACAAAACTGGAGGCCTACTCGCTTTCTCGAAAACGAAATTTCGTTTACGAACGAAATTAAAACGAAATTCGCATGGAACGCTACTCTTTATCATTTTCGTATATACCAACGAATGTTCGTTTCCAAAGACAATTTTCGTGATCGATTGGAGTGAATGGCGTTATTGGATTTCTTATAATGTCAAATACCGGTTTTTACCGTAACTTGAAATATATAATATTAAACAATACATATATTTCTTTTAAATAAAATTTTAGTGGCTAAACATTGTTTAAACATAAAATATTATAATAATATAACGAAAAACTTAGTATATTAATTAATTTTATTTTTCGTTACAACTTATCAAGACACTATAAAGAACTCTTTTATCCGCAGTATTAACCGACATATTTAAAAACAACCTTTCATTTATACGATGGCTATAATCAACGTATGGCAATCTTAAATATCCGTATAATACAAACGATTCTCATCCCGCCAAAAGTTTTACAAGTTTTCACCAAACTGTTCAGTGTTTACTAATATTTTATTTAATTATTGTGAGTTCCGAAATTTATCTTGACAATTCAGTAAAAAACTTTACAAGTAAGTATGAAAGTAATATTTAGTTTTTCGGCACAAAAAAGGTTTTTAGTAATAAATTTACTTTTTATCAGTCATATTTTTCAAGTATAATGGCATAGCCTATATGCCTCGTAAAATCTGTAATATTAATGACATAATTCTATAGGTAATTATTCACAATTCATACATAAAGCCAAAATAAACAATAAACTATTAGGTACTCACTGTCTCTTAATAAGATTCCTTTCATTTTGGTTTTGAGGGAATAATATATTTTCTTATAATACCTATCTGGTGAATTGAGGACAGTCCTAACCTCCTAACACCGTGAAACTGTTTGTTGGGCCATAGGCCCATCCATGTTTTGAGATACGAATCCTTGGTAACTACCTCGGGCATAAAAATTCAACGCTGTAAGAATCATAAAAATATGAAATGCATAATGGTAGGCATGCAATTTTTTTTATCAAGAACTACGATAAAATATCTTCCAAGTTTAATTGTGAACTCGATGGCATGAGATCTTGCCTGTGGACGCAGTAAAGGTATAATCTCTTGGCATAGTTCTTGAAATAATTCACAACTGAGTCTGTAAATACTTACAAACTCAGTATCGAGAATATTTCTTATATTACGGCTATTTCAAAGCCGCTGCCGATTTCTTCTACGGTCTATTCGTTCTTTACTGAGAGCTGACTCGATTAATAGTAATATAGACCCCATTTCGAAAATAAAAAATTGCTAACGAAAATGAAAAGGTAACATTTTTTACTTCGTCAATTTGAGGTAAGAATTCCGAACAATTAGATGTCAAAGTCAAATGTTCGTTTTGTCATTTCGTGAAATAGAGTAGGTTTAGAAAATAAATATGTCAAACATTTTCGTTCGTTGAATATTCGGAACGAATGTAATTGTGGTAGGAAACGTCCGAAGTTTCGAACGAAATTTCGTTTTTCGGTGAATTAGAGTAGGCTTCCTGTTACTTTTATATGTTCTGATCTTTAAAAAACATATATGGACTTTAACTTTAGTATTTGCTCAAACGCTAGTAGCAGCTAGTCAGCAGTGAAAGTAACAAATACTTAATTTACAGCCAGTTGGACAACTATCCATTAAATTTTCATTAGTTTAAAGTGACATTATCCAATACAAAATTGACATTCGTTAGAGCGTAAAGGCGTCACTATACTTTAATGGACGTTTTTGCAACTGACCGTTAGCTACGTTAACCACATCATCATTGACAATGCCTGCCTCCGCTGTTGAAATACAACTATTAATAAATCACATAATGAAAATATGCCATAATGGCTTAATTTTTTATTTCAGCTGTCGAAACAAGTAAAGTGCATTAATAATAATAATAATAATAATGATGCAGAAGGCCGCCATTCTGAATACGTGCCGCATAGTCAGAAGGTTCATGCAGTCCGAAGAACAGGAAAAAGATTTAATAAATTGAAGAATGTAATAACTTGGCATGTGCCCGTTTCATTACATTGAACTTGTGTCATTACATGGAACTGACCAGCTTCGAGCTGAGAGATCACAACAACAAAATAATAATAATAATTTTTTATTTGCCTTAAACATGGTATAAAGGTGTTAAAATTGTACAAAATCCTCATGTTTCGCCATTTTCAAATAGCATGCAAATCAGTATAATGGAATTTAATACAGTCACAATTATTACAATAAAATTATTTAATTCTTATTATGTTGAAATTACATGTCATGTTAAAAAAAGTCTATTATTCTAATTCCTTTTGTTCAAAAATTCGCTAATACTATAAAAATTATTACAATTTAGCCAGGCATATAATTTTCTTTTAAACAATCCAGGCGTTAAAGACTTCATGTGGAATTTTATTATATACTTTAACGCACATAGCCAAACAACTTCTCCCATACTTATCCGATTTTGGAATTACATTTAATATAAGTCTATCAGGGTCTCGACGTTGTCTAAATTTTTGAATGTCCTTAACTTTTTTGAATAAATGATTGTATTTCCTCACAAAGGTACACACTTCCAGAATATATAATGATGATAGCGGTAATAAACCAAGTTGCTTAAATGACTCCCGACATGATTCATCAGGTGGAATTCCACAGATCGCCCTGATACATTTTTTTTGAGTTATGAAGGCTCTGTGATAGTCATTAATTTATCTGTTTTCCTTTGACCACGGAATGTGAAGTCACGGGTAAAAATTATTATCCTAATAAATAAATAAAAGGTATCTCTTACTCACATAAAACTTCAGCGATGTTCCCTGTAGTGTAATTGGTTCCATACCTCACTGATAGTGCCCCCATCGCCCGTCTGCCGATGTTAACCTGAAAATAAACTCAAACTCAATACTCAAAAAGGGGCTAAATCCCGACGTGATTTTGTTATGCAATTTCTTTTCCTCACCATCGGATGCCTAATCCAAAAAGTTTTGAATATTGTACCTACGCTGTAACGGTGTGCCATGCCACTGTTTGTTTTCCTAGGTTTCAGTATGCAAACTTTTTGTTTTTGAAATTCAACATCATTTCATTTTATTACTCGTCTTTCGTAATTTAAAATTTTGACTAATCAATTATACTCTTTATAGATGTCAGTTCGTAAGAAATTCTCCTATGCACAAGATGAAATTATAATACAATACAATATTAATGGTATAAATTTTACTATATAATTTTAAAATAATTCATTCATTGTGATAAATAATGTGATATGGTGATACAAATTATATAACATATGTAACTACTAAATTGTAATCTGTATTTTGGACGATCCAAAAGTTAACTAGAAGCCCGACAAGGGGTATGTATTCGTTTATTTGATAAGTATGTAATAGTTAAGTAACTTACGAACTGTTTTTATAAATTTATTTTTGTTTGTTACAGTTTTTTCTTATTACCCTTATTTAACTAATAAATATATACTCAAGCTAAGCAGCCTTATTAATTGACCCAAGCACCGAACCCGTAACAACGGTTCTTATATAGTCATAATAATATAATTGTTTATTTCCACTAACCACAGTTTCTTAAATATACAAGTAGTATAAAGTAAATAACATTGATATTATTAAAATTATACAATTAACAAAATAAGTTTTACTTGTACAAGGCATCTGCTGCCAAACTAAGGTAATTATCACCCTGTCATCTGGCAAGACAGCGCAACTTCTACGCAAATAAAGATAATATTATTATGTAGGTACTTACAGAGTTACAATTTTTATTAATGTTTTTGTACCTTCTATTTAGAAACTATAAATAACAAAAACAACCCCCTGACGCTAAGTACTTCGCAAAACTTCGTGAGACACAGATATGGTTTAAAAGTACAAACCTTCAAAACCACTCGCTGAGCCACCTCCAAACATTCAAGTTTGTTTTTGGCATCCCTCCCCAGATAGTTATACTGTAGGTTAGTTTAGTCATGGTTTTTTACTATTAATGGTTAATTCAATTGTTAGAAGAAAATATTCTATAATACTACAAATATTTTCACAACAATTAAAATATACCCCTGCTGAGTTTGTCTCTGGTACTCCTCAGTATAAGCTCTCCCGCGTAAATTAACGAACTGATGGCATAGAATCTAAACTACAGTTAATAAAAATGATTTTGATATTGAAATCTTCGATTATAAGGCAAGGATAATTTAAAGCCCCTGAATTTAAGTAATTATCATCCATCCAATCGATCTTAATAAGAATTTGATTAAAACACCTGCCTACTTATAAAATGATCAATTATGCATTTAAACTATATTAATATCTTTACTTTTTCTTTAAGAAAAATCACTTACGGCATCATGATAATTGTCTAAAGGCTCTGTAGTGTTGCCGAATGGCACTAGAAGCATTTGTCCCCAAGAGTGTATAGATAGATAGTAGTCCATGTCTTTGATAGTCCTCAGATATTCAGACAAACTCCTGGTTTCTGGTTCAGAAAATGGACCAGTACCGGCATAGGTATTAGAAATTGGGTTGGTGCTTGCACCAAAACCTAAAAGTAAAAATTATAAATTAATTTACACCAATAACAATATGTAGGGTGCAATTTGCTTAATTTTTAAATTAATTCATCGTGCCTTAATACACATCATAGCATATTCCAATTAACAAAAAGATTTTATAGTATATATACTTTTTTGTGATTATCAGGATATGAAACCATTAACCGATGATTATTTTGCTTGTGAGTATTTTATTATCTGTTATATTTTACTCATCAATTTTAGAATTAAGTTGATACTTTAATGAAATAGTATCTTGTATTTAAATGTAAGTTATATAAGCTCATTATAAAGAAAAAACTTACGGAGCCAATTACTGTTCCAATTTCTATTCAAATCAACTCCAAAATGAACTCCAATGGGTCGTCGGTTTTTGCGCCACATTCTAAACTGAAAATGCAAGGCACAATATTGTTTTATTAAAAAATCACAATAAAGTAGTCCTCAACGTCCGACAAATGTCATCAATCGCGTACAACAGTTATGTTTTATAGCTAGCTCTATTTGTCCATCCAGTCACTAAGAAAGTTTTGTGATTCTTGCAAAAAGGAATTAGTAAAGTTACAAATCTTTTAGAAACAAACCTCCTTATATGACCAAACGTAACCATCAGGATTAGTGACCGGGAATATGTACCAATCATAGTCACGGGCTGCAGACTTCGTCATTTCATCGTCACTGCTCAATAATTCATTAGCGATAAAATTGGTAGCAGCTGGAGAAATCCATTCTCTCGCGTGAATGCCAGCTTCTAAAACCACTGCTCTCCTGCCGGGTCCATGGGATATTTTGATGCCTAATATAGGTCTCCCTTCGTAACTGTATCCTCCAACTATACCAGAAACAATATTTGGGTATTGATTTATCAATTGAGCTATCCAGTTGTTAATACCATCGAGAGTGTAATAAGTGTCCCAAGACATGCTGCCATTGTTATTTCTAGTGTATTCCCTGACAGTCTCCTTGTCGATATTTCTGCGAATTCAAAATATATCTCTTTTTTACGTCGAAAAAACTCTGATGAATTCTAAAAATAATTAAACCTCTTTAATGTAATGTTTGAAGCATAATAAAAAGTAACAACTTACTCTTGCACATTTGGTATAGTTATTTCAAAATCCATTCCATGTTGGCTGAGAAAGTTTTCTAATTTTGGTTTTTTATCGGGACTGGAAAGAACCATAACAAATGGCACTTTAGGTGTAGGATCCTTCCAAAAATCTAAATAAGGGTCTTCATTTTGCAGGTCTTGTAACACTTTTATGTGATCATCTGTTGTCGGAAGTATCTTATACAACGAATAATTGTCGAAACGAAATTTTTCACAAAACCCATTTGATGACAATTCATAAATTACAAATAAAATTAATATTATTCTCATCTTGACGTGATCGTACGTAATTTTGACTGCTACATTGACAAAATTATTACTTCAAGTGATCGTTATAAATAATGATAATCTAAAAAATACCCAAATTATTATCTTTGACTGTTATCATGTAATTCATCCATGCACACAACAGGCATATTTCGGTTATCGTTATTTCATTATTATATCATGGCAGTATGTCATTTTGTACATTTATGGTAATTATTAACGCTAGTGACTTCTTCCGGCTTGCCGAAACCTTTATAAAATCGTCAGTCCACCTGGTGGGAGGCCTACCCACTGTGCCCCGACCGGTACGCGGTCGCCATTCTACAACCTTTCCGCCTCAAAGCACTTCGGTTCTTCTAGTTATGTGGCCCACCCACTGTCAATTCAGCTGAGCAATTCTTCGACCAATGTCAGTAACGTTGGTTCTCCTATGGATTTCTTCGTTCCTAATACGAATAATAATAGAGAAACATCAAGCATTGCTCTCTCCATTGCCCGGTGACCTTGAGTCTTCTTATGAGACCCATAGCAAAAGGCCACATCTCGCTTACGAAAATCATCGCTGGCAACACACACTGGTCGAAGAATTTTGTCGTAACTTCCCGAACGCTACCTATCCGAGTTGAATTCTTGGCTTTTAGAGACTTTATATCTTCTGCTGATTTGATAGTTTTTAATTTAATAATAGTTTTACAATAGTTTGTAGCATGCACACACCAAAATTAAAGGTTAACGTTGGCAACTGTATCTACTAGTGCTTCAACATGTTTGCATGCGACTTCCTTGATAAACATAGAAGCGATAAAATTACTTCAAAGTCAGAAATCCTATACTTATCTATGTTGAAAATAAGGTAGATTTACTATGAACTTTACATACGCGCTAGTTTCAGACAATATACCTTTTTTTTCACTTTAATGTCTGTAATAAATAATGATAAGAACGTATCATTATAAATCCTCTAATATAATATGTATTATAAAGTTACTAAAAACATGGTTATTAAAACAAAAGTATTCTTAAGGTGTTGTTGGCAAAGGAAGTTACTAGTAATATAATATTTAAATAAATTCATCTAAAAACAACGAATCGTTTGCTAAAAATCACTTTAACTACCACAGACTACCACTCAATTCCACATATACAACCAATTTATAATTTCGATAACAAAATCCATATTTTATATTTTATATGGTTTGGATACTTTATGCCTAATAAGTTTGAAATAAACAAATTTGATTGGTAAGATACAAGAGATCACAAAAGGTGACATGCACGATATGATAACTACCCTCCGCACTGGTTAAAAAAAACCGTATTGAAGCAGCGCAGTATCGAAGAAAACAGATAGCAAACACTTAACTCCTAATAACCCGTAATGTGCTTCATAAGTTGGTTCTTTATAAATTCGTTAAATATTGAATTGTAAATATACTAATTGTTTTTTATAACTTATATATACATAATGTGATAGAATTAAAAAGTAACAAAAAAGGAAAATAATATTGAAGTCATCATCATTATCAGTTATCAGAATCATTTGTACCTCATGTCATTAGTTTTTCAGTAGCTATATAATCAAGTCTTGATAAATAATTAGTAATTAACTTTTGATATATACAATGACTTCTGTCAGGTAGGCTTGTAATTTCCTTGATAACAGGAACAGTTTCGATAAAATTATAGGAAGGAACTTTAAATACTTTAGCTATTCGTTTTGTTGAAATAATTGGCGGTGGTGTAATACGATGCTGTTTGAGTATGATAGATTTTATAAATAGTTGCCGTACTGTTAATACAGAAAACTCCTGGTATAATTTTGTGGTATGTATATGTCGCCCCAGATGTATGCTTCGTTTGTGGATCAGTAGTCCAGATTCATACAGGAGATGTTTTGGTGTTTGACGTTCCTGTTTGCAATATCTGCAAATGTCAGTGTCAATTAGTTTGATGTTAAATAGTGTCTGTTTGCAGTGTTTGCGGTGTCCAGAAAATATTCGTTCAGTTGTACTTATATTTGCTCTGTTTAGCTTCAAGAGTTCTTCAGCTAATTTTTTGAATCACTTTGCAGGTCATTTTTTTTTTGTAGAATTTGCATCACATGGTCTGTTGGGATAACCACAAAATGGCTCTGGTCCTATTGGTAGTCCCTACGCTCTATCCCTTGCTAATTCATCTGCTTTTCCGTTGCCGATGATACCCGAGTGTCCCGTTATCCATTTAAGAATAATCTTATTATTTTGCCCCAGTTCATTCAATTTGTCAATACAGTCCTTTACCAGTTTCGAACTTATCACGTTTGAATGTATGATGTATGATGAGTGCTGCTTGACTATCAGAGTATATTCCGCCAGTAACTTCGCCCGAGTGGTGGTATTAAACATATAAACCATCCTTTTGGATAACTCTGTAGATTGATATAACCCGCAATAATATCCTTTGTGTAATTTATGAGATCTCAGCGTGCAGACTGCTGGAATCTAGAAACAGCCTAACAGCAATCCAACATATTAAATGTAAGATACAAATTTGAATACAAACTATGCTATTATAAAATTCTGACTTTAGGCGTCATATTATTTCATTGGTTATCTTATAAATTCCTTTATAATGGTAAAATTTCTCAAATATGAACGTAGCTTAACATGATTTTTTGATTTTGATATAGCTATCGGTGATAAGGAAAAGTATAACGCATAAGAACGTTATCAGTCTGCTATTTATGCAATAAATGATATGATATCGAATAATAAATTGATGTTGTTTTACGACCCACGATGTTATTTTTTTAACTGAACTCAATTCTGATCTTGTTACGTAATAATGACACTTCAATGGCGTATTAATTAATTGCACTTTCCTATTGCATTATTTACATAACATCAAATAACATTAGTATAAGGGCGTCACGATGAATCAATGATGATAGATTACTTTATTATTGTGTCAATTAACAAGAATTGTGTCAATAAACCTGCTTTGAAACGCCATTAACATGTCATAATTAAGAATTGAGCCTCTGATCTCGCTCAAATTTTAATGAGACCATATAATAAAAACATACATCAAAATCGCTACACACAGTGAAAAATAAAGAGTCAACACATAAAAAACCTTCGTATGTATGTGATTATTTTATAGGGTAAAAATAAAAGTAGTACAAATAATACAAAAAGTCTCAAAAATTTATATTATTATTTCGATAACAAACTATAACTTTATGTGTTTATATAATTATCTTTTAAGGAAGTTATAGGTACTTTGAATGATTTAATCATCTAAAATAAAATTTAAAAAAAACGAAAGTTTGGAATAAAAAACAACGATTTCCATTATAGCTTTAGTTGTTCATGTATCCAAATCTCTTCGCTTGATGTATCAGTTCCAGTATTGAGTCCATAGTTTCCTCGCTTGTCGGCAATATCTGGTCTGGTGGAAGGAGGAAACCATACTGAGTTCTATCCCTTAGTTCGTAGCAGTATACTAATGGCACCTGAACAAACTCCTTTACCCAATCAATGCTGCCACCCGTAGCTAAATCTGTGATAGAGGAAAATATTTATTATAATTGATCAATGCATCAGGCAATTGTTTGGGTGGATTACCTGACCATTGATTGAAAAGAAACAAGTGCCTGAAAAATTCGTCAGTCTTATTAGGTCCTGGGTAGCTCAGTGGTTACTTGTCTACTAAGAAATATTAGCTCAGTGGTTAGAGCAGTCACGCGGAATGAGAAAGGTGGATTTGAGTCTCATCTCAGAGTATCTGGGCCAAGTGGTTTATTAGGCAATTTTCATCAAGAAAAATATTTGTTTACTAGTTGATTATATCAATCCTTAAAGTGTTGCAAACTGAGTTCAAAATAAGATCAAAAGGTATTTCGCGGCAATTCTCTCGCTGGCATTTCGAATAATAGTCATGAGTTAAAACAATATAGATTTCAATTAATTATTATATTAAAAAACTTGTCTACTAAGAAATATTATATATATGTACTCACATATTGCCTCAGCTATGTTCCCAGTAGTGTATGGTGTTCCGTATCTCACAGACAGTGCTCCCATTGCACGTCTCCCAATATTAACCTGAAAATCGGTATTTTTTTTTAATTGAGATAGAAATAAAAACGATATTTTTATCCTACGACAAAACTTTAAGAGGCGGTGCACTTGTCGAATGTCGAGATGGGCCGATAATTTTACTTCGAACAAATTAGAGTGCTCAAATTACTGCTTATATTTTCTGTTTGTTTTTTTTTTTGTCAAAATATCTATTTTAATTTCACATTTAGATATACTTAAGACATATATTTAAGTTTTTGATTTTTTATTACATTATAATTATCGTGCCGTCTCTTATTGATACAGAGCTACCCAGGGCCTAATAAGACTGACGAATTTTTCAGGCACTTGTTTCTTTTCAATCAATGGTCAGGTAATCCACCCAAACAATTGCCTGATGCAGTGGAACCTCAATAAGTTAAAGTCCAAGGGAAACACAAAATATTTTAAGTTATCAAGGGTCCATGTTAGGAATAGGTTAATATAGAGTTAGGTATGTACATATATATGTATGTATCCTTGTTCCTATTTTTACTCGAATGCGTCAGAAGGTCAGGTTCATTGCACACGTTAAATAAAAATAAAACAACAATTAAAGGTTTAGTCTACTAAAACAGGCTGTAATTTTTTTTTTGTTTTAAACAATTCACAGTTTTTAAATCGATTTAAAGAATTTCGATGAAGCAAATAATGGTTGACATATGTATTTTTTACGTTAAAAATTTAACTAGTGAACACGTGCAAGCAATAAATACCGAAATCTTTTGTTCTGCACACTCTTTCAAAATGAGTAATTGACAAACAAGTTTATGTTATAGAGGTTGTGGAAGCATTTCTTTAAGTTACTGACGGCCAATACAGAGATAACTTATTTAAGTTACAAAGGTTGCGTATTTTAAGTTACTGAAGTTTTGGGCTCTGTGGGGAAGGGAACATATTATTTTTTGAAGTTAGAGAGGTTTTTAAGTTACCGAGGTTTGAGTTATCGAGGTTCTACTGTACTATAATGGAACCACTTCTGGGGTTTAGGGTGAGGGCTCCTATCTCTTTAGGAGTATGGATGTTGCGTGGTTGAGATCAAGTAGTTAACGTGCCTTCAAAAGCACTAATAAATCGATTTTTATTTATTTCCCATTCGATTTTTCGCTATTGTAAAACTTGCGTACCATATGCAATAGCAGATTTCATAAACTAATAACTTTACCATTGAGTATTTTATAACAGTTATTTTGGATTTTGTTTTGTTTACAACATATTTAATTTAATGATATTGAACATTTAAAAGTCTAATCAGCAGTTAATGGTGTCTATCTTCAGATGATGAAATTTGCAATTTTTTTATCTAATTTAATCTTTATCTCATAAGATTCTTGCAATATAACCATATCTAATGCCTGATATAGAATTTTAACCCTTAAATTTTATCAATCATATTGAGCTACCGTGCATTTTAGAGAGAGTGTCGAATTTCTCAAGTATTTGCTAGTCAGCGCAATTCCATCAATGTTCATAAATTAGTTTCCATGAGTGATTTTCTTTATGATAACCAATCTAGCATTTATAATGCAAAATTTATCAATTATAAAGATAAAACGTTTTTATCTTACCGCATCATGGTAATTTGCGGCTGGCTGCGTAGAGTTGCCAAAAGGTATCAAAAGTAATTGACCAAAAGAGTGAAAAGATAGATACAAATCGATCTTGTCTCCTATACTTTTAATGTAACTTGACAAAGTACGGCTTTCAGGCTCTGAAAACGGTCCAGGACCAGCGTAGTTATCTGATGAAGGATTAGTGCTTGAACCGAAACCTGGAACGAGTATAATTATTGAATTTTATATCATTAGTTAAATATACAAATTATGCCATACTTAATATGGATTAAATGCATTGTTTAGATATTTATATACAATAAAAAAACTTACGAAGCCAGTTGTTATTCCAATTTCTATTAAGATCAACACCAAACGTTGAACCTATTGGACGCCTGTTTTTACGCCACATTCGAAACTGAAATGTAGAAAAAAAAGTTAAAAAAAGAAGTTTTCTTAAATAAATCTTTAAAATATATGTTACCTGTTCATGAGACCAAACGTAACCATCAGGGTTAGTCACGGGGAATATATACCAATCGTAATCACGAGCAGCGGATTTGGTTTCTTCATCGTCGCTACTCAGTAATTCGTTCGTAATAAAATTCACAGTAGCAGGAGAGATCCACTCTCTTGAATGAATACCGCCTTCCAAAAATATAGCTCTCCTGCCAGGTCCGTGAGATATCTTTATACCTCTAATCGGCCTACTTTCATAACTTATCCCTCCAACTATTTCAGTAACGACATTTGGATAGTACGCGATCAAGTTGTCTAGCCATGCGTAAATGCCATCAAGAGTATAATATGAATTCCATGCCATACTTCTCTGTTCACCTCTTTTGTATACATCGACGACTTCTTTGTCCAGGTGTCTGTGATTAAAAAATAAAATAATTATACTGTATGCATCACAATGAATGAGTGAGATCGAATTATTGTCTCGATCCCAAGATACTGCATCATGGGGCTGTGTAGTTGATATGGTGAGAGTGAATTTCAATCGATTCCAAGACAAAATATCGCAGGATTATGCTGTTGCCATACACACTTGTTACTGAATTTGCATATTATTTTTTACTATATTATATACTTGCTGTGACAAACTGTACTTGGGGCTTCACTCAGAAAAAAAATATACTAGATTAAAACTTATGTAAAAAATTGTGTAAATGCAGCTTCAAACTTGGTATAGGTAAATTTCTTAAATAATAAACATCTGAAATACTTACTCTTGCACATTATTAATTGTTATTTCGCTTTTTATGTCGTATTTCTTCAGATAGTTTTCAAGTATTTCTTTTTCATTAGGACCCGATAAAATCAATACATGTTCGGCATTGGGTAAGGGATCATTCCAGAAATCAAATTTCAATTCACTATTTTGCAGTTCCCTCAAAACATCTATATGATTATTTTTATTTGGTGTAACTTTGTATAAACTATAGTTGTCAAAGCGAAATTTTTCACATAAAACTGAACTGAATGTTAGAGTGATAAATAAAAATATACCGAACTTCATTGTGACTGTTTATTGACTGCTGCCATGTGAGACATAAAATTAATCAATATGATTATAATGATAATATTCCAGTTAAGGGGACACACAATAACGCCGACGTCTTTGATTTATTCCGATATGTAAGCAAATAATATAGTGCTTATGGTAACAATGAAATTATTAATTGGTGTAGTAAAGATACTTGAGGATATAAGGCTAAGGGGATCACGGTCGGTCTTCAATGCAGGAGTTAAGTTTCTTTCCTCTACTAAACGAAATCTTTTATAGCGAATTATGTTAAGGTCCTTCAATTAACTAAAATGTCATAATGTTTTCCACTGTTGAAAAGTATCTAAGTCTACTTGTATTGTTTATTTTTTATGGTTAAAATATCGAAGAGACAATATTTATAAATAATGGCGGTTATAATGCTTTTCTCACGACTTTTATTTCTTTCATTCGTTTCATTTCTTTCACCTATCATTATCATGAATACCCGAATATGGCGCTGTACATTTTATGCATCACGGTATCATGAGAATCCCTAAATTGTAGTATATATTAGATGAGTTTTGGTATTATAGCAAGTAATTCGTAATACGTACTGGTCGTACTGGTGTAGCATATTCTCCTTTTAAACTAAGCTCTGCTGTGGTCTAAGATCTAATGTTTTGTTAGTATTTAATAGTCTCCATAACTAACCAGTAGACGTATTTTACAAATTGATCCGCAGTAGTATACGCAGGAGACATACGCTTTAATTTTCGCAGGCAATCACGTGAAAACAGCTTCTTATTAAAAATTGACAAAAACGGGAGAACTCCACTGACAATCATCACCACCAGCTTTTTCCTGAACTATCATTTTTAGACTTTTAATATCTTAACTTTCATACGAACCGCTTATCATAGTAACGATGGTTAAGTACGTTGCGGTCAAGTCATCTCCAGGCACTAAAGCTTTTTATGTAAGAATTACAACTTATTCTTTTAATTGTGTTTCTGGTAAAAATTCCTGTAGACTCGCTGTCAGTAATTTTGAAATATACAACTGTTACTTTTTACATACAACTAAATTGAGTTTATTATGATCAGTGGTCGGAATTAGGTAGAGTTATTCATGTACTTATACTGATTTCATACAGCGAAAGAATAAAGTGGATATGCTTCAAATCCCGAGATTAATTTTAAAGAGCAGAAAAAATCCCGTGATTTTTTAAATAAAAAGTTATTTACTTTTACACAATTTAAACTACTGCACTCACGACGTTGCCAAACTTACATCAATGACATCGGATGTCCAAAGTTGCAAAATACCAATACGCGCGATGTTGCCACGAAGGTCCACATTAATATCAACATTTCGATGCAAGTACATAAATAACTCTACCTAATTCCGACCTCTGATTATGATACATTTTATTGTGAAAAACTTTGTGATTTTTTGAATCCTTGAAGCTAATACAACTTACTCTCCAATATTCGGCATCGTTATTTTGAAGCATATATCGTGAATACTCAAACGGCTTTCCAGATAGGCGTTATATTCAGGTTTGGATAAATTCGGAACATTGTCGGAGTTGGGAACTGGGTGACTACAAAAATCAAATTTATCATTCTCGTGTAAATATTGAGAACCTCGGTTGCGTTATGGAGGATCATGGCCCATCCTTCTTAACTATCCATAAGGAAGGTCTGAGCCCCTGCAGTGGAGACGTAAATTAGCCGATGATGATAATTAAATCTTGTAGATATTTTATTTGTTTTGAATTTTTTAATATCTTCATTTAAAGTACCACCGCAATACCGATTGTAGACGAAGGGACGGCCAAATCATCAATCTAAGAGGTTATGATATCTGGATACTGGTAGCTTCCTATACTTCTTTATCAATTAATCTGAATTTTTTTATCTAAATATTTTCTTTAGTTATAAATATCGCATAACACTACTTTTACACTTTAGACACAAACTTTAAGTAGGTATTTCTAAGAAGTTACGGAATTGAATCTAACATAGATTAAATAGTAATAAGTATAGTATACATTAAATCCAAGACTACAAAAAACTTCTAAAGGCACTTATTTATAAATATTCACTATTTAATATCTTATTTTCTTCTTTTTTTATTATCTTTAATATTTTTGGGGCTTTTGTCTTTAAAGCACGACAGCCCCATCGATACAAAAAAAAAATACTTACATACTATTTAGTTTCCTAATTCTATCTTAGTAGATTTGTGTAGGCTTTGCTCCACCAAACTACATAGGCACAGGGTAATATCGGAACTAGGATTACTCAGTATACTCTGAATGAGTCCTATGTCCAGCTTATTAACTTTAAATTTATTTAAAAACAACTTCTTTTCTGTTTTGTTCCGTTCACATTCCATCAGGAGATGAGTAACATCCTCGATCTGTTTACATACTTCGCAATTAGGCGAAGTTGCTTTTTTCATCATAAATGAAAATTTCCCAGATGGAATGTGACCCGACCTAATTCTTAATATTAGTTTAATTTTATTTCTACCTAACTTACTAGCTATAAACCATGGTATACGAGGAGGTTCACTCTGTAATGTTTTGTACCATATTCCTTTAATTTTCGAGAGTTCATTGAAATGTTCTTTCCACTCAGTCTGGCAATTTGCTTTAAACTTAATTAAGACTTCTGAGTAGCTTGGACTAATGTAGCACTCTGTTCCGTTCAAGGATGCATTTTTTGCATACATATTAACCTCTTCGTTACCCCATATTCCTATGTGTGCTGGAATCCATTGCAATGTCACTTTTATATTGCGTGACTGAAATTGGAGTATCTGTTCGAGTACATGAAAGGCTGTCGGTACACCTCTGTATCCAGAGGCGCAACGAGTCAGGTGTTGTATTGCACTCTAACTATCCGAGCAGATTACAAACTTGTCAAAATCACACCTTCCAGCGTATATAAGTGCTTTGGAAATTGCAATGAGTTCCAGTGTCATAATACACACTTCATTTTTAACATTAAAACTTTCACAAACATTCAAAGATGAGACAAAATACGCTGCTCCCTGCTTCTGTTTACTTTTTGATCCATCCTTAAAAATTGTATGGTAATCATGGTATTTTCTTTGGAGTTCCTGAATTACATCGTACTTTGTTTCATATGTATAATAGTGTTTCGATTCTTAAAGACAATCTAACTCACTTACAGCTATGTTATCAATATCTATTAAAGAAAGCCATGTATCAATCGTGAACATATCTAGGATAGGCGTTGAGTAAATTTCAATGTCATTTGTACTATTAATTACGTCTACTAACAGTGGTTTCTTCTTATTTTGCCAGTACTTAGTTAGACAAAGAATACTTAGTTGCTGTAATAATTCAATAGTTATACTATTTGTCCAAGACAACGCTTTTAAAATATATTTATAAGATAGATATAATCTTCGTATAAATAATTGAGGCACGCCTAATTCAGCTTCCATTACATGGATTGGTGTGCTCCTAATAAATCCACCTATTGTTCGTAACGCTTGATTTTGTATTTTATCTAATTTTGATACATGACATTTAGCACAACTGGCAAACAGAAAACTGCCATAGTCCATCCTGCTTCGTACCAGTGATATATATATTCGACGGATATGTTTCTGATGTATACCCCAAGAAGAGCCCGATATAACTTTGATTAAATTTAAAAGTTTCATGCACTTGTGTGCTATCTCGTTGATATGTTTACCCCACAATAGGTTTCTGTCTAACCATAGGCCTAAATATTTGACACAATCTGAGTAGTCTAATGATAATCCACCAATTGTTACATTAGGTAAATTTTTTCTCTTTCCTCGACTGAAGAAACATAATTTAGTTTTATTATTAGACAGCTGTAAACCTAAGTTATCTAACACTGACTGAAACATATCGATAATCTCAAAACTACTGACTTTATCATTATTAAATGACGCAGTTAACCTATCTTTAAAAATAGTCCAGTCAATTTTCTTAAAATTTCGCTTACGCAATGTGTTATCACTTTTAGGGATATTATTTTTTAATTTGATAATTAAATGGTCACTACCTAGATTTTCGTTCATAACCTGCCAATCAAAACTTACCGCAATATGGTTGGTGACAAAAGAGATATCTGGCGAAGATTTTTGAAGTATACCGTTAACTAATTTTACTCTTGTGTCTGATCCACAGAACATAGAGAGAGAATAGAAGTAGTAAGTGGGCGGGGCAAGCGTCGCTGGCATATGCGCTTTTACTCATATGACGCCTTTTCCTCGATTTTATGTTTGTCAGTCGTTCGTCAATCGTCGAGTGGTGATTTTACTGATTTTTTCTATAAAAAATACCGTTTTGTGCTATTATCACTTGCAAAAAGCAAAACAAAGTATACAATCTAACTAATGCAAACATTTCCTTTCACTGGTAAGTACAATTTTAGTGCTAAAATATAAAAAACATAATAATTTGACACAATTTTATATAAAATATACATTGTTTGCTCAAACCAACATTAATGTTTCTAACCCCGTTTCTAGACAGCAATGTAAATCATATTGTGCACTTTTGCAAATAATAGTGCTGTGCCTCCATTTGTCTGAAATGTACCGATAGGCTGCTGCTGCTCGGAATCGTATTGTTAATTATATGGATCGTAATCGATAACTAAAACAAATTTATTTAGAGCTTTTCTTTCATCATTTCATAACAACGTTATGGATAATTATATGCCATAATTATATAAAAATAAATACTACTGTTTAAAAGAGAAAATAAAAGATGAATTAATACTGAACAGATGAAATAATGAACTATCCAGGCACTTTTTTACGAAGATTCGGTTAATTATTTACACGCAGATAAATATTAAAAAATACTGATGTGCTATAAATATCTAAGTTACGAAGTATATCAACGTTTTATGAACAATATATAAATCAAACGAAACTTCGTGAAAAGCTACGAGTGTTGGCCTAATAGGTCTTATTAGAAACTGGTGAAACTGGATTTCACTTATTTTGCATTACTTATATTTCAGTTTCCCTAATAACTTTACAACGGCTTGCCCTGTTTACATAATCTTTTTTGTCC